AATAAAAAAATTAATAAAAGAAAAAAGAAACCAAGCCCTCACAAAATATTACTCAAGAGTATTGAAATGCATTGCGCTAATAATTTAAACAAATAAAATATATTATCACAAATCAAGTAAACTAGCTACAATAACTAGACAACTCCCATGTGAGATATGGAGTCTGAGTGTGGCACTGTAAGAAAAGCACCAGATTGCTAACCACAAAGTCAGTGGTTCAAACTCACCAGCTGCTCCTCAAAAACTATACAGGATTGCTATGAGTCAGAACTGATTCGACATTTAACAATAATATCGTGTGGGATGTACAACTACTACTTATTAAAATGGAGTCCTGGTGTGGTACTGTAGGATAAGCACTGGACTGCTAACTACTAAGGTCGGCGGTTCAAACCGACTAGCCGCTCCTTAGAATCGCTATGTAGGGTTGCTATGAGTTGGAATCAACTCAGTGGCATTGAACAATAATATCAAGTATTAAAATATAATTACTGTCATCATTATGACATGCTCCACTTCATGACAACAAATTAACTTTAAACAAAGTTATATAAAAGTAACTCCAGGAAGGTTTGATATGATCTACAACATTCCTAGCCCTGGGACCTACTGAACACTTACCTTAATTCTAATGTGGTTATCAGTTCTACCAGACCAAAGATAGTAGACGAATAGCAAGTATATAAATCAGAAATCCTAACTGTCAGGTGATACACAATGTCTTCACACAATGAAGACAAGCTCAACAGACTAAATGTCTTCATGTTTCAGTTTATTTTTTTAATAGACATCATTGCTGTCGTTAATTCCTATAGTCTGCTATGACTCATGGTAACTCCATGAGCAACAGAATGAAACATTGCCCCGTCCAATGCCATCTTCACAATTGTTGGTATGCTCGAGTCCATTAGTAAGCCACTGTGTATTTTGAGTGCCTAACTGTGGGGCCTCATCTTGAGCACCATATTGGACAATATTCTGTTGTGATCCAAAGGGTTTTCATTGGCTAATTCCTGAAAGTATATTACCAGGCCTTTCTTCACAGTCTGCCTTAGACTGGAAGTTCTGCTGGAACTTGTCCTCCATGAGTGATCCTGTTGGTATTTCAAATACCGATAGCATAGTTACCAGCACCAGAATAACATTCAAGCCACCACAGTTTGACAACCCGACAGACAAGTGGTAGAAAAATATACTTTACAGCTGTCATATTAGTCTTTAAAAAAGGAACCTATATTTCAAAGGCAATGCATTTGGGAGTGGTAGAAAAGGAAGAAGGGAAATACCAGTTTTAGATCCACTATGTACAGGGTATGGCATATAGGTGGTGGTGGTAGTGTGCTGTGGAGTTGGTTCCGACTCATAGTGACCCTGTGTAGGAATTCCAAAGCTGTAAATCTTTATGAGACCAGAAAGCTTTATCTTTCCCCCATGGAACAGCTGATAGTTTCAAATTGCTGACCTTAAGGTTAGTAGCCCAACTCGTAACTACCACACTGCCAGAGCTCCAGGGCATGGTATATATTATAAGCAAAACCAAACCCATTGTTATCCAGTCAGTTCTGACTCACAGCAGTCCTAAATAGGGTTTCCGATGCTATAAAGCTTTATGGGAGCAGAAAGCCTCATCTTTCTACCATGGTGGGTTTGAACTGCCAACCATGCAATTAGCAGCCCAGTCTGTATCAAGCAGGGCCATCAAAGCTAGTAAATACTATGGTGATTGGTGCCACTGAGTAAGTTCCAACTCATAGTGACCCTGTATAGGGTTTCCGAGGCTGTAAATCTTTACAGGAGCAGAAAACCTCATCTTTCTCTCTCAAAGCAACTGGTTGATTCAAACTGCTGATGCTGCTATTAGCAGCCCAGCTTGTAATCCATTATGATACCAGGGCTCCTTGGTATATACTATTGTTGTTGTCAAGTGCCGTTGAATCCGTTCCAACTCCAAGTGATGCTGTGTATGATTTCCAAGTAATGGCTGGTGAGTTTGAACCATCAACCTTGCAGTTCAAACTGACCTTATAGTTGAGTGCTAATGCCTGGTAAGATATATGTAAAGTACTTTAACACTGTGTATTTCATTCCATGGAGTGCTGGTGTGGCGCTATGGGATAATGCATTGGACTGCAAGGTCAGTTTGAATGCAATGTCGGTGGTTCAAGCTCACCAGTCACTCCTTGGAAACCCTATACAGGAATTCTATGAGTCGGAACCAACTTGACGGCACTTAACAACAAGATACCATTCCATAGGGAGCCCTAGGGGTGCATAGTTAAAGCACTTGATTGCTAACCAAAAGACCTCTGGTTTGAACCCAACAGTCACTGCAAAGCAGAAAGATGTGGAATCTGCTTCAGTATAAAGATTTACATTCTTGGAAATCCTATGGGGCAGTTTTACTCTGTCTTATCAGGTCACTAAAGCCCTGGTATAGCGCTGTGGGTTAATGCGCTGGACTGCAAAGTCAATTTGAATGCAATGTCGGTGGTTCAAGCTCACCAGTCACTCCTTGGAAACCCTATACAGGGTCTTTGTGGGTTGGAACCGATTTGACAGCACTTAAGAACAATAGATCC